CTCGTCTTACTCTGCTTTTGGCTCGCGAAAAGAAAACAATTTAAGAGCAAATATTCAAACATGTGAAGAGCTACATTGCTGAGCTCTTTGTTTACATATGATAGCAGACATTGAAAGGTCATTTTGCTTCACAAAACAAGAACCAAGAGAGTAAAGACTTCATGAACAAGATGGAAATGTATGGAAGAGTTAGAATTCAGCTCCTTTCTGCTCTTGTGATGTTAGTATTTTTGATATCATATGTTGACAGTGAAGGCGAGATGAATCAGACATTTGTCACAAAAGGTACGTGTATTAACATGATAACTTTTCCAATCAACAGTACTGTCATGGATTGCTTGATAATCAACTTAACATCGCAAGCTGTTGTCGTTTTAAGTTTTCCTCACTTTACCATGGTGGTAAACTTTTTAACAACATTTAGTTCAATATTAACCCCTTTATATCATTGCTGGATCAAGATAACTAGATTTACGCTATCAATTCATCAGATTTTAGGATTAAAGTTGTAAAGGCTGTGTACAGAAAACTCATTCAGCTTCAATAATACATGCTTCAGTTGACTTGTAACCATTCAAAAACTTATACATAATTAATGAGTTATTAGGCCAATTAGAATGAGCCTATTTGGTCACATGCATGGACCTTTATATCTGATAAAACACTCCTTATTAGTATTCTTTATATAAAGAATACTAATGAGTGTGACCTTTATTAGATATAAAGGTCCATGACTCTAGCAAAGGTCTCAGGTATTGACCAATGCAGGATGCCAACTGATTGCAGTCAACAGCACTTCTATTTAACTTTACGCGTATTCAATGTGGGATGACAAGAGTGCTTTGTTAAGTGACTCGCGCATGATCAGTTTGCCCTATTTACCTCAAAAATTATTTTTACGACAATTTCTCCAAGAATTTTAGCGTATTTGAGTTTCAAATTAATGTTGGAGTTTTTGAAGCCGTTCAAAACACTCGAGATCGTGTTTTACCAGGTATAAAGATTCGATCCGATCTTTATACCTGATAAAACACTCTCTCTCGTGTTTTAAACTATACCTAAACATGCGTTACAGCGCAATGAAACATGCCCTAAACAGACATGTGGATTTATTGTTTACACTGTGGGATGTACACAGCTAATTACTATTTACCCCTGGAACCCCCCCAGCCTGCGAGCCTGTACCTCAATCTAAAGCAATTTTGATGTTGTAAAAGTAAACGTTTTGTTTAGCGAGGAAACATCTTGTAACCATTTCCTTTTTGTTTAAATTTTCAAAGGTACGACTGATTGACACTTTTCGAGGTGTATCCATGATGGATATAAATAAACCATAGAACAGTCGAGAACATGATTTCACCCCCCTCCGGAGAGGGGATTAGAACAATATTTGATGCCTCATAGTGGGGCATTTGCCATGTTATGTTAATTGCCTAAAATCCAGCCTGTGGATACAGGCAAAGTAAATCTAGTACTTAGGAAGTCGCAAAAATGTTCTTATGGATCTGATTGTTGCAAAGTTCTACATATTTCATGATTTCCTCACTTGAATGTGGTACAAATCTTCTTTTTCTGATAAAAATACACAAGTTTCTATCTCATACGGCTCAAAAATTCGATATATGTTCTTGGGCTCCCTGTGTGTGACCATGGAGTGTTTCAAGACCCCCCCCCCCCCCCCACCCCCCAAAGATTTCGAAACCGCATGATTAATCGAGCGTGGTTAAGGTAGACAACTCAATTTTTGTACTGTCTGACCTACCAGATGAGTTAGTCATCGATGATGATGAACTCAAATCATCATGGATTCAATGTGATTGCTTGGTACCACGCAATTTGTTTTGGACTAATGCATGTTAATACCATTGACTCATGGTGTTCGAATTGTTATGAAAGATTTGACAACTAAACAAGTCCCCAGATAGGAAATTTTTACTGGATTTTTCATCCTGAGGGTGGGGTTTTTGACAGGGGAAAGAAAAAAAAATGTCTAATCCCCACCCCTTACGCTAAATTGACCGCATACTGTTTGGCCCACATGCACAGCTCTCGCGTTTTTGAAGAACCTCTCCACGTAAGTGTGTTCCATAATGACTATGCTACGTTAACGTTACAGATTTCCGTAACGTTACTATTGTCTACAAGATGATTAGTATGTTCTATAACGACTATGCTACGTT